TCATGATGGACAATGCATAATCATTGTCAAACGGACACTACTTAAAAGGATGTCTTGATTTGCGCAATGAACTGACTACTTTCGGTTGCCGTCGTATATGTAACATTTTAGCATCAATAAATTTGAAATGTTATCAGTGGGTGTGTAAGCGAAAGACGGGACTGCAGTTCATGCGACTTGAGTGTGATTAATGACTGCTGGGCGGGAATTTGCAAAGAATTATCTTCTTTAATTTAAACAATTTATTATTAAAAATGGTCTTAGCAGATGTATGACTGATCAGTGTGTTTCACTGCACCTAATAGTAATTAAAAAATTTCTCTTACTTTAGGATTGTTTTCAATACACTAATATCTTATCCACTACTTAATTTCTCGTTACTGTATACTTGTGCGAATCTAGAGAGGGTTATCTTACTTCAAGTTGGGTTTAATGGTAATGAAGTACTGCACACTCCACGTATATACGGCGCCTTTTCAAATTGTAGCAAATAGTGGGTGTGGTCACATGATATCTTGACGCCAAGGAAGTCACAAGTTCACGTCGGTGACGGTGTAAGGTCTGGCTCAAATGCCCATTAATTGTCTTTATGACTGTCGGTGATGGGTCATTTATCTTCGGGCTTGCAGATAAACAATAGTGTGCTCAAATTAAATACCCAAATCAAAATAGTTTTTGGATAGACCATGTTTGGTAAGCTCTGTGGTATTGTTCCACTGTAGGCAAAATATCTCCGGAAGGTTGAGCAAAAATACATTTTATCATCGGTTTGCATTACGGCATAATATTACCATTTTTACCAAAGATGCAAATTGTCGTGCTCCACTATTATTGGGTTTGAAATATCTTCTGACCATTGAACGAGACCTTCGCCAAATCAACTGCTTAAACAGGTGACGCTTAAAGTGTGAAGTCGTAGCAGTTGCCACTAGGATACCCGCCACTATGATTCCACATTGCGATATAGGCGAAAGATCTAACTAGATGCACTTACGATGTCCATCTGGCAAACTACTTATGCACTAGACCGTAGTATCATCCCCAACAAGTGATTCCTAGGGCGAATCAACACCAATCTCCTTCGTACCGAGCCACTGAACCACAAGATTTAAAGTGAAACCTACTAATTTAGAGAATCCTTAAAGCCACTTGACTTCTAAAACGAAGTACTAATGTTAATCAAACACTTGTTTATGTTCTTTTTTTTCAGAATTATATCCTTCTTCGCTTTTAATAATTTTGTGTGCCCACTTGCTGTAGAAGTAAGTGGCGAGTTCGCTCACCGTTGTAAAACAAGGCGTGGCGATTTTTCTGTGGACCATGGCGTAATACCCATGAACATACACAGAAGAATGCAAATGGAATAAGTCAATGAGACACTCAGTAGATCAACACTGCAGCATTAGAATGATGAAAACAAGGGTAAAAAGAGGGGCATTGACCTCTTCAATTGGTTCTGCTATAGACTAGCGTTTTTGTGCGTGATCTTGTCTCCTGTCGAATGTCCAGTAGAGGGTGAGCAGCTAATACACAAGGCACCGATGCAGACGTCTTTGTTTTTAATACAGATGAGTAAGCGAGACGTCAGAGTGGGTGCGTACGTCGTTTAGCCGGCTGCCTAGGTGAGAATGCCTTGGACCAGACAGCGTTTTCATTCTTGTACATTTATAGCAGTTGACGGGCCTTCTTCCTATGGTTAGTATCAATACGGCCAAAGCACGTGGTATTACCAAATTAAAAGGAACTAAAAAACATCATTTAAAGAATTTTACAGTAAAGTTTGCTTGAGTGGCAGCAATTTTCTATTGTGCTACTCTCATCGATGGCTCTTGAGCACTTGCAGAATTGATTGACCACAGGGACAACTTAATAAGCTTAAGCTGAGTAAGGCCCGAGGGGAGTCGAGCAGTTCATCTAAGAACAGGGGCTGGAATCACCCTTTGGGGTAGGAACATCGTTGTTAAAGATATTAACGATGGAGGCATGCTGTGCGCTAACATGGCTGCATAACTTCCATGCTCATTGTAAGAGGGTAGATCTTAATTGAAAGGTAGGTATCACAAGATGTATAGCTAAAAGGCCTGTCACTTTTCAGAGTCAAAATGATGAACGTATTAGGAATTTTCCATTATTAAAGTCTGACGACACAAAAACGAGGACCATACATCTGCGCGGGTAGATTTTGATGCCTACATCTGCATACCCCCACTCACAATTACACTGTCGCACACGTTTCCTCAAATTCGTGCTCATTTTAAATGAACCTATCCGAAAGTGACTAGGAAAATTATTTAACGGGAGTGGCGATTGTTGAAACATACAATACACTTACATTTCATAATCATGCACTGCAGGTTGAAATGCAGTAAGTTCATCGCTCTGTCCCCCTGCATCATACTAGCTATATTTTATGTCACCAGCTTAAAGCTGCAGAATTATGCACCAGTAGTGAACATCTCAGGAAACTCCATATGCAAATGGCCTCCTGCAACCGTGAATGATACCCACCGGTGGAAGAGTGGCTTCGACATCAGCATTTGTATCCTACCTAATTTCAATGAAGTAATGAGCAGTGGGGTTAAACGGTACCGCATGAAGGGCCTCTTTTGGGGTTCACATTCAAAACACTCAGTGTCCTTC